CTTTCTTGTTTATAAAAAAAATCCATTTTCTATTTCTTATAATACTTTTAATCTTTAGAAGAAAATATGGGTATAGTGATTTGGCTATTACCAAACAGCAGTCAAAGCACATGACACAAGTGATAGAGGGAAAGAAAAAAAATAATGGCAAAATGAGGAAGACACAAGGTTCTTACAAACTTTCAAGAGGCTATGGTAGGATATAGGAGTTCCGTGTAGATGGGGGATCAGGTCACCATGTATAAGACACACTCGACACCCATCAGCATTGGAGGGATGAGCAAAGTCCTCTAGGGAAGACGTGTGGTTTTTCAGAGTGAGGCTCTTGGATCGCCACTCAAAGGGTTGCGGGCAAAGAGAACCGTTCTCGACACTTAAAAGGATGGTATTCATGGAGATATGAGGTGGATCTTTCCGTTCGGATGTTCTTTCTCTGCATTCTTGCTGGATACTAATGCGGAGGCGGATGCACTAGCAAAACAAAGCACAAAAGTCCTTGTTGAGTATTACAACTTGTTATGCTTTGTAGCGTGTATCATCTGTCCGTGTCCCAGCCATCCGATCTAAATGAACAGTTGACCTCAATCACAATGTCACACCTTACATTATTTTATTTTTTATTATTTTTCTAAAAATGATATTGACACCAAATTTCAGGTGTCCAATCCTCCTTTGAGTTCTCACTTAAAAAAATTATAAAAAAAATATTCCTGATAAAAACTTATTTGTTTGGCTTCTTATAAAATGCGCAGGGCCCGATATCCCATTGATTCTCCCCAAACAAAACAAAAAAACTATCCCTTACCCATTTAAATTAAAGAGATGAAAAATTTGAAACACTTGTGCTCATAAATAATTTGTTCCTTAATAGAAATACATGATCCTCCAAACTGGGGCCTAAATAATCGAAAGAAAATAAGAAGATACCTAAACTAAGTGGCGTCTGAACTTAGGAAAATTTCCAAATTTAGATACATAGGTGGTGACTAGAGTGAAATTTTGATAATTTAGATTTTAGGGTATCGTAAATAAGAGCTACAACATGCATAAATGGGATTATGCAATATAAGACCGTAGACTTTTGGCAGTAGGAACTTACATTCATTTTATTCATCATGTGAAATCCAACAACTTAGAGCAATATCGTAAGATTTGAAAACTTCTTTATTAAATTTCGTCACACCCTTCCCCCCCCCCCCCTTTCCATCATATGTGAAATCCAACAACTTAGAGTGTATCGTAAGATTTGGAAACTTCTTTATTAAACTTCTTCCCCCCCTCCTCCCTACTACAGCACACCTCCGGCATCCCGATTCACAAAGGTGATTATGACCTCCTTATGCCAATGATAAATGGTGATATTATTTAATGATCATTTAATTTTACTAGACTAACTATCATGATTTTGAAATGTTAATACAATCGCTCAGTGTTTTAGATGTGCAATCCAATGTACAAATCTGGATCGACAAGTGAAGCAAAATAATAAAACTAAAGATAGATAGAAATCGAGTCATTATGGGAGTCATTGGTCACCCACAGATCCTGGTTGAACCGGGCAAATCCATTTTGACTCGCTTATCTCAAACCTTGTTTTGCTTGTTGGACATTGTCTTTTGAAGCAAAATAAATCTAGGGATTATCTACAAAGAGACTATTTATCTCTTGTACATATAAGTCGCAATCATTCAAGTCGCAATCATTCTTGTCCCTTAAATTTCAAAATGAGTTATTGTAAGAATGTCATTGAATATATACAAAGTTTCAAAAAAAATATTCTCGAATTTCATGACTCACCGCAAGCCATTGAGTTTGATATCTAATGAGTGGAAATGATTATGACCTCCATGTAAAAAAGATAAATAGTCTATTTGTAGACAATCCCATAAATCTATTCCTTTTAAAGATTTTATGGCAAAATAAAGTTATGGTGGATTATTTCAAAGCAAAGTCAGTATGTCATGAACTAGCTAAACCGGTAGTAAGGTACAAGTGCAACTACCATTGTTCTCTCATACCAAGTGTGCAAGCTACTTTTTAAACTTTTTCAGAAAAACTTTTCCATAGACTATTAGTAAAATCTTATGTTCAATATCAATGAAAATCAGTATGCGTTATCAGAGGGGCAAATATCATTTAAGATGGCTTGATAGGGCCGGGCCAGCATTATCGTGGATCGGTGGTAAATGAACAAAATCTTTTTTTTTTATGTTCCAATTGCTCATCTTCCTCAAAGAAGTTTGAGAAATCCCTTGTAACCATTCATCATGAACTTTGTAATTTCTATCCAACTTAATTTTTAAGTTACCATTCTCTTCTTTTTTATTCTATTATTAGGAGGCTTCTTCGTTAAATCCAACATCTCTACTTCTGATTAACTTGTTACTTCCTCGGTTAATGGTTTAAAAGTTTTTGATTTCTTATCATAATCAATATTGCCCTAGTTTAGGGTTAGAAAGTATTAGAGTATATATATCTATATTGATATACATCATCGTGAATATATAATGAGATATGCATTTGTATGGATATGTATCTCATAGGTGTCTCTTGATTATGATAAGATTAGTTAGTAGTTATCCATAACCGTTGGTATTTATCTTTAATTGTTACTGGCCGAATATTTATAGAAATACCATTTCTAACATGGTATCAGAGCATTTCCTCAACGCTTTCATATATCTCTATACATAAATACAGTTTCTAATATGGTATCAAAGCATTTCCTCAACGCTTTCACATGTCTCTATACAGAAATATAGTTTCTAACATGATATCAAAGTATTTCCTCATGAAGCCTTAAAAATAAAGGCATTTTAGTCATTTAAACCACCAAGGGGCTCCAACCAAATGATAAAAATAGACCCACTAGTTCAATGCTATGAATAAGGAAAACATCATTTAGGAGAGAGCATACCAAATGTTAAAAGGATGCAGTTGACATATGGATGCATTCGTAGGTGTAGAGGTAAGGTGTACTTTCAAATTTTATCATGGTATATAATTTTGATATAAAATACTCTTAGGATTATCTCAAAATCTATTTTATATCTAATTATAAAATTTTAAATTTTACAAATGGTTAAAATCAAGTAGATCTATAAACATATGAAAATATTGAAAATTGACGGCATAGATAATATGTTGTAAAATGCACTATTTCTGAGACTTAAAATTTTTTTTTTTTTTATAGTCATACATCTCGATGTCAAGATGATCAATCAGAGGGTTTTCCAACATTAAACCTACCTTTTCCGATGGATTTCTATGGGGCATCTGTAGTTCTACATTATAAAGTAGCATCCCTATATAAACTTTTCCCTTGTTAAAAATAGAAGAAAATAAAATAATTATCCTTCTTATTTATATATATATATATATATATATATATATAGACCGCATTGTCAGAGAGAGAGAGAGAGAGAGAGAGATTTGAGCCCACAAGTGAGATACCAAACCAAGACACACAGGGGTTTCCAACAAAGGAGGTGGGAAATGAACCATTCATTCTACTACAAAATGACGGATGAACCAGCTATTTCTCTCTCTTCCCTTGAAGTTTATAACTAAACATCAGTAACGTGCTTAGCACACTTTTTTTTCTAAACGATGATTAAAACAACCAAGCTCAACTTCAGTGGTCGCAAAATTGAATCGGAATGGTTAATCGAACATGGGCGGGAATCGACTTAATCGGTCTAGCCTATAAACCAGTCGATTGAACCGTTCTAATCGAAAAAGTCTTGAACGGTCAAAAAATTGTTGAAACAAATGAAAAAGCTACAAAACAAATCTACTAAAATATGAAAGGCATATAAAAAATTATTAAAACAAAACATATTCAAATAAAGTTGAAAATTAATGAAAAAAACAGATTTTAAAGAATCAACTTGTGCCTAGGGTTATTTTTTAAATTTTTAAAAATGATAAGAAAATATAAAAGTGAGTATTAATGACGAAAACAATTTCTAATCTTTATCATAATGTAAAGAATATTAAACTATGTATTAAAAATCAAATTCCTTATTTTTGATATTTTATATATATTTTTTTGAATTTTTTATTTAAAATACCGCCCAATCACCAAAACCGCCCGAAACCGATTCTAATCTAACCTACCGGTTTTCCAACCTAGCTCAACATGCACAGACCAATTCATGCAGAAACAACATACGTCTGAAATTTAGCTAATAAAATTTAGGATCTCGTTATGCTACGAATATGGAAGGGTGAGTTGGTTCAAATAGGTCGGATAAGTACAATGTAGACCCGGCACAACACTTGTTACGAGGTGCAACATGGTTCAAGTAAAAGATTCAAAAAAGGTAAGGGGTAGATTCAATAGGATATGGTAGGAAGTAGTGAGAAAAAATATTGAGACTTTTGACGTCACTGAGAGTATGACTTATAATAGTACGGGATCACAAACCAGAATTTGTGTAGACAACCTCAAATAGTTAGAAAAAAGATATGATAATGATGAGGAATTAGGATGAATCCAAACCGAGGGTTGATAATCCTCATAAAACTCAAGTAGACATTCAACACATTTTTGGTGAGAGGGTTGCTTTTGCTTATGAGACCAATGCTTCAAAAATTGGGATCGGACTCCAACTCCTCAGGGATCTAAATCCAGCTCTTTAAGTCTAACTTGGGTAATTTTTAGACGATCAAAAAACAAAATGCTTGCGATTTTTCTAGGTAGGACCGAAGTATGTTTAACAAAAACAATTGAAAAAATATCCAAATTGAAAAAAAATCCAAAAAATCGGGAGACACGGATGGTTCCAAAGTTTCCCAAAATCACCAACACTCCAATCTAATCTGACTCGGGTTATTCCCGAGTCAAATAGGTCTTTCAGGCGATTTTAGTCGATGCTTTAGAGTTTAGACATTGAAAGGAATTATACTTTTTTCTTATAGTTACTAATTAATTTAACAAATTTTTATTTTTTTAAGTAGTTGAGAAAAAAAAAAAGCCTCAGCCCATAATAAGCATAAAATTCAAGACGTCGAGCACGTCGATACCATTTGACCTTAAAAGTCGAAAAGAGGGGGCGACGTTTTACATGGGAATCAACCCCCTTTACCAACGATGCCCAAACCCCAAGAAAACGAAGACTCACTTTCAATCATTCCACTTTCGTTAAAAACTCAACTTCATGTTCTAATCTTGAGAAAAAGCCCTTGAACTTTTAAATAACAAAGATATTACCATCATTTGGGACCCATGCAACAATAAATAACGGTTGTTACAGAGTTATAAACACCTACCCACCCACCTGACAACAATAAACAACGGTCGCTATAAAGACAATCACGTGCCGCGTTCTCAATTACAGGCCTTTAACGGGAGGCCGCATAGGCAATCGTTGCTCACAAATGAGGCCGCCTCCAAACGATCGAACGGTGATCCTTTAGGGATCTGACCGCACAAATGATTGTGGCATAGATCCAAGTGCCCGATAAACAAAGCCCTAGCCATCGATTGCGGGATCTTGCCCCTGAAATTATTCCACGAAAGATCGAGCGAAGTGAAGTAGGATCTTTCGCCAAAAACATCCGGTATTTCGCCGTTAATTTCGTTGCGGCTGAGATTCAAAATACTGAGTCCCGGCATCTTTAGGATGGTGGCCGGAATAGAGCCGGAGAAGTGATTCATGTCGAGATAAAGGGTGGAGAGCACCGACATTTGTCCTATGGATGTCGGAATCTGACCGGAGAATTGGTTTCGAGAGAGGTCGAGGTCGGCTAACCTGTTCATGCGGGAAATGGACGCCGGAATTGGCCCGGAGAGCTGATTCCGGTTTAGTAAGGCGCGACTGAGCATCCTTAACCAGCCAAAATCAGACGGAAGAGGGCCGGAAAGTTTGTTATTGCTCAGGTCTAGGTGCATTAAGGATTGGATCTGGACTATAGAGGTTGGAATATGGCCGGTAAATTGATTGTCCGCGAGATTCAACACCGCGAGCCTCGAGAGCCGTCCGATCTCGGCCGGAATCTCTCCGGAAAACCGATTTCCGACGAGATCAAGGGTGCGGAGAAAGGGGAGTGAGGTTATACAAGCAGGAATCTCGCCGGAAATGTTTTTCCAGTCGGCTAAAACCAGTGTACTGAGGCGATTCAGAGCACAAATTTCAGATGGTAATTTACCGGCCATTAGACCTGGCCTTCCAGCTTTGACGATGATAGGGTCCTCTGATTCGCCTCTCAGGTTTATATCAACGACTCTTCCATCCATTGGATCGCAGCTAACTCCATACCAGTTTTGGCAACAGTTTGAACCAGTCCAGGTGGAGAAGAGCCCGAGATAGGGTTCATTCATGGCGGATTTGAACTTGAGGAGAGCTGCTCTGTCTTGACTGGGGCAGGGGGTAACAGAGAGAGCTCCATTAATGAGAAGGAGAGTATAAAAATGGACGAGGAACTTCATTTTCGAGGTCTCTGGAACTAAAAGTCTCTGTAACTTCGAGAATGAGTGTTTTATAGAGCCATTGAACTCTCGTTCCGTGTGGTTTTATAGCTCTCTCTCTATACATGTGATCTCCATCTCTTATCAGTGTGGATTTATAGCTTAGTACAGCGTGAATGTCTTTTTCTTTTTCTTCTTTTTCTTTTTTTTCTTTTTCTTTTGAAGGATAGAGAAATAGGGAAATTTAAAAAGAAAATAGGCTTTTTTTATTCAATTTTTATGGAGGGGCAAGCCACGTGCATGGGGTTGGAAGGGAGTTCGTCTATTTATGGTAGGCTTCGGATAGGGTTGAGTGTTGTCACTTTGTTGCTTTCTGGCTATTGCCCCTGTAATTTATCAAAATAAATTATTTGTATTTTTTATATTTTGTAAATTTTGTTCTATTTTTAGAATTTAAAATAAAAAAAAGGTATAGACTGCGATCATTTATCGCTGGTACAAAGTGGGCACAATTAATCTTGATCATTGCATCTGAAATATATATCATATATTCCACTTTTTGAGTTTACATTGTATTTTAATCTCTTTTACTTTTATATAGCTTGTATTAAGTTCGAATTTGGGGCGTTTTTTACCACCTTACACCACTAAAAAATACAACTAAAAAGTGAAAAAAAATTGAGAGAATAAAATTATCAAAATACCCTTGAACTGTAGGAGAATTTTGGTTATTTTATATAAAAATATTTTGTTGTTTGCAAGTATGTAACTATGAGAAGTATATCCACCCCAAATTTGAACTTAATTTGATTTATAATAATATAAAATTAAAATACATTGTATGTTGTCAAAAAGTGGAGTTGAGCATAGAATATGGAGGACTACCTTTAAGTTCACAAAATAAAATAGAATTTTCTATAAATTTTTCTATGTTAATATTAATCGAAATTGTCTTTGTAATATTTCTATTTATAATTTTCATTAAATAACAAAATTGATGTACACATTTATTGTAAAACAAATCATCCATGATGGTTTTGCAAAAAAATTGAATCCTCCCAAAAAGTACGCACTTTTGATATCTTACGCCGATAATCCAGGAAAATAGAAAGATTGATGAAAATGCCGCACATAGATTTAGAGCTGGGAGGGTAAAGTGAAGATGTACAATCGGAGTTTTATGTCATCACCCCATACCAATAAAACTAAAGGGGCAAGTTCCATAAGACAATTGTAAGGCCAGCTTTGCTTTATGGGGCAAATTGGTAAATGGTCAAGAAACAACATACCCATGGATTGAGTGTAGCTGCGATGAGGATATTAAGATGGATGGGTAGCAAGAAAAGAAGGGATATAATTCGAGATAAATACATTGGGGAGAACGTACGGGTATTTCCAATAGGCAATAAGATAAAAGAAAGTAGACTTAAGTGGGCTGACCATGTGGAGCACAAAAGTAATATAACACCTCTTAGAATGTACAAGTTAGTTCAAGTGGAAGGCTAAAAAACGAACACGGGGTGGGCCCACAAGGATATGGTTGAAAGTAATGAGAAAAAATATGGCAATTTATAGCCTTGCTCAATGTATGGCCCTTGATAGAGTAGAATGACGGACCAAAATTTGTATAGTCGATCCTAAATGGTTCCAAAAAGGCACTGGTGATGATAATGAATTAGAAACCCCTCCAAGGCTAAACCAATGTTGTTGTATTCGATTCAAAGTCTTCTTCGGTTTGGTGAGAAAAATGAAGCAATCCGGTGTCTCGACCAATTTGGAAGAAGGCTTTGGATTTTTTTTAAAATTTAATATAAATAACTTAAATATTTATATATAATATACAAACCATGGAAAAAAAATTAAACTAAAAAAATATTTTTATATAACTATTTCTTTTATGGCCGAAGCATACCCGAATTTGACCGAAGCAGCTCGAATTTGACTGAAAAAGCAATACCAAGCTTCGCTTCGCTTCTGTTTATGCCTAAAATCCGAAGGCTTCGGCCGAAGCAAAGCGAATTTGATAACACTGGGCTATACCCGCAAAATCATTTGCTAGTAAATTATTTTACATATGTAAACTTGATTGAAAGGTACTATCAAGTTTCTAAATATGTATTTGTTTTCATTTTTATTCTTGTTAAGGAACTTGAATTTGTATTAAATTTGGATTGCTATAAAATACCGTTGTTCTAGATTTTTAAAATGGCCTATTTTATGTAGCTCCTTTTCTTGGCCCTAATTATTGTGAGCAGGTTTCTATAGAGAGAATGCGAGGTTGCTTTTTCTCCCATTCCTCAACAAGCGTGTTGAGAAAAAGAAGAAAAACAATGGGCTTTTAGCAAAACTTGAATATAGCCTTTTTATTTGAGGATCAAGAATGGGTATATGGTCCTTTTTTCATTTCTTACATTTGTGAATTCATTTGAGGATCAAGAATGGGTATTTAATACTTTTTTTATTTCTTATATTTATTTTTTTATGACTAGAAAAATGATTTGTAAATGATTATTTGGGTCCATGAAGTTCAATTATAAAAAGTGCCCTCTATGATTTGTGACATGGGATATCTTGATAATTCTTTTTTTTAGGCTTTTAGAATTTAAGATATCCAAATAATTCATTATTTCTATTTTTATTTTTAATTAATAACTTTTACTTATTTAAAAAAACTTGATGTACATGTCAGTGGGGCAATACAAGTTTGACTCTAAAGACCAGGTTCAAACAAAATCGATTCGACTGCGTGTTAATCCAGATAGATTGGATTTTGAAAAAATAAAGAAAATATGAATAACAATTAAAAATATAAAATATAATACAGAAAAATGCCAAACTCTTTTTATCTTTTCCGACCGGTCAAAACTAGCACTCCGATTGACTAAAAATCAGTCAAATATTGGTTGTGATCGGTTTTCAACAAAACTTATTTTTACTATGAACAAGACTAATAAAAGCACCAATTGGCCGTCCGAAAAAAAATTTAGAATCACGCAATCCAGTGCGATCTTAATAACCATATGAAGACGTTAAAAAAAAAAAAGAGAGAGAGAAGAAGAAGAACAAGAATCATCTAACCTCGTAGGAAGCGTTAGTGAACTCCTTGAGTAAGCAGTCTACATTGCATTTTTCTCAATAAATGTGAATTTTCTCTCTATAAACGTGATTGAAAGAGAATACGAAACTTCTAAAAATGTCTTATGTATCATCAATTATTTATTATTTAAGTAGAAACTAAAGATGTCGACTAAAGAAACTTTCCATGTGTGTATCAATAAAGGTAAATGATGGTAGTTTTTGCATCCTACAATCCACGTTGTCTTTTAAAGTTATTAACAGGCTTTTGAGCTTTGTCACATAGCTGGCATGATTGGGGGTCCATAGATTTCCTATTGTTGATTATGATTTTGTTGTTGATTCAAAAATATCAAAAGTATTTTATCATCGTCAAAACTTTATCTCAACTAATTGAGGTCGCTACGTATTATCTATCATCATCGTCAAAACCTTATCCCAACTAATTGAAATCGTTACGTATTTAACTGATTCTTCTAAACCCAAAAAAAATACTAATTTACTAACATATTTTTAATTGGAAAAGTATCCATCTATATTATGTGGACGGGAATAAGGGTACACAAACAAACTTCCAATGGTTGAGATTTGATAGGGCCCAATCTAATAGCCAAAAAATACTTTCACTTTTTATTTATATAAAATATTTATCTGAATTTTGGAGTGTAGGTTTATTTTCATAAAGATAACTAAATAAAAATAATTTAAAACTATTTTAAATAAAAATAAACAAAATCTCCTAATTTTATTTTGATCAATATTCAAAATAGTTTTCTTTATTTATTTATTCCGTTTTGCTTATAAGAAAAATCCAGAACCCAAATTTTATCTATTTGATTTCACATTCAATGGCTAAAAATAATTGCGACCTTCTTGTATCAAAAATAAATAGCCTCGTAGTATACAATTCCCATGAGACAAAATAATTATAGTTCACGTGACCATTATAGTCTATAGAGACCGATATCACCATCCGATCTATGGTTACAAAGATAATGTGACTTACCAATCGGATTATGTCATGTTCTGCTGGATCCCAATGTCTTCATCACCATCTATTGGTACATTACACGTTGCTTACACTGATGACCATATACTTAGTGATTTGTGATAAGAGTTAATCCTATATCAAATTAAGATCATTTGGTCATTAATTCTAGAGCAAATGGTTAAAAAGGAGAGTCAAAAGACTTTGTGCTCTCAAGGGAGCATATCGCCTAGTTACTCCCTCAAGTAAAAGGCAATCTAGAAGTGTTTTCAAGACCCCTAATCGCATTCTTTATGCCTAAAAAATAACTTTTCAAGATTAAAACAAATATAGGAATAGAGTCAAGGCATAGGCGGTATGTGCATGGTGAATACGACAACATAACATCTTGAGTTTCATTCCTACTATGGGATCCCTTCCTTACTGATTTACCTAGGAAAAAAACAAAAAAGAGATTTGATCAAAGATGCCTCTTTGTTGGAAGGCAAGATCTAGGTGCTGAAGGATTCAAAATCTAGATTTCTTTCGTGAAAATTATCATCTTGTGATTCTTAGTGGATCCCTAATTTAATATCTAAAATACTCTTTCCAAGCGGCATTTTTCTCGTAGTAAGTATACATCATGCTCCCACAGGTGCATAGCAGCCAATATATGAACAATTAAGCCTATTGAAAACCTTTCATCTTATTCCAATAAATTAGGCTATGCGAAATTTACACCAAATCCGTAATTTCAGGCGAATTTCAACGAGGACGGCAAAGAACTTTAGTTTTCACTTTAGAAGATACTCTGATCTTTTGGCCTCTACATATCTACTTGATTAATCTATTTGTATTCACAACTCATCATAATTTATTTATAACCATTTTTTTTTATTTTGAACGAGGTATAAACCTAATAGCATGTGGACCTCCGTGAAGATCACTAGTCACGAGGAAAGACATTTCTATACTTTCCTTCTTCTTCTTTTTCTATGATTGGATGCGGATTGTCTGAGGTTGAGGTCTTAAACAATCAAAGCAAAGCGTACCACCGAACGATGTTGACTGATGTTGTTTTAGTGAAAATC